TGAATAATTCTATGAAACATTTAAAAGAAAATTATAAGCAATTCCAAACATTGTCTTCCAAAAAATAAAAGAGACAGCAACATTTCTTTTCTTTTCTTTTTCAAAAAGCAGGATTTATTAAGAGGACAGAAAAGCTCCCACAGTGGGAGGGGACCCAAGGGGGTTGCCCGGAGGCAACATTTCTAACTCATAATTTTGAGAACAGCATTAACTAGATAGCAAAAGCAGACACAGAGAGTGCAATGATCACAATAATAATATTAAAAAATGAAAACGATGACCCAGTATCTCTATGAAGTCAGACACAAAACCAGTGACAAAATTAGAGCAAATTAATATAGTAATGTATAAAAAAGTATATAACAAGACCATGTGGGGTTTATTCCAGGGATGCAGATTTGGTTCATTTAAAAAAATTCAATCAATGTAATCCACTATATCAACACACTATAAAAGAGAAAGGGTGATATTTTCAACTGATGCTGAAGAAAAATTTGACAAAACCATACACATTTTTGATAAAGAGTTTTAGAAAACTAGAAATTGAGAAATTAAGAATTGTGTACTCCAAAAGATATATGGTACCCTAAATCCCAGAACCTGTGAATATGACTTTATTTGAAAATAGAGTCATCACAGATATAATCAAATCAAGATGAGGTCATTTTGAACTCTTTATGCAATCTAACTGGTTTCTTTAAAAGAAGAGAAGACATGCAGACAGGGACACACAGAAAGAATGACATGATAACTGAGACAGGGATTAGAGTGATGAAATGAACTCCAAGGATTACTGGCAACACCAGAACCCAAGACAAAGGCACAAACCAGATTCTCCTAGAGCACAGAGAGAAAGCATGCATGACTCTGCTGATACCTTGATTTCTGACTTCCAGTCTTCAGAACTGTGAGAGAATACATTTTTGTTGTTTTAAGCCACTCAGTTTATGGTAATTTGTCACTGCAGCCCTAGGAAACTAATATGTAGAGAAACAACTTTCTCAGCTTGATGAAAATCACCTTTAAAAATCCTACAGCCAATATCATACTTGTACTGGTGGAAGGTTGAATGCCTCTTACCTGTTTGGAAAACAGGCAATGATGTTCACTCTAATCACTCTTATTCAATCTAGCACTGGACATCTGAGCCAGTGCAATAAGGCATAAAAGGAAAAACAGATTTCAAGAGATTGGAAATGAAGAAATACAACCATCCCTATATGTGGAAGACATGATTGTCTATGTAGAAATATCAAGAAATTCAAAAACAATGCTTGTAGAACAAATAACTGTTCAGCAAATTCAGAAGTTACAAAATAAACACACAAATATCAATTGCACTTCTATATTCTAGCAATAAACTTGTGGAGACTGAAATTAAAAGCACAATATAATTTACAACCACTCCAAAAATGAAATGTCTAGGCACAAATATATCAAATTTGAAAAGGACTTACAAGCTGATAATTATAAAACACTGAAGAAAGAAATCAAATATGACCTAAATATATGGAGAAACGTACCATATATGGTATAGTATAGTAAATATAGTAAAGTATATAGTATAGTATATAGTATATCACATATATCAAATATTAGCACAATAATTTATAGTTTTAATATATTTATTTAAAAATAAAACAAGATTTCTCATAGACCTAGACAAGCATATTTTAAAAATTTATATAAAAAGGTGATGGAACTAGAATAGCTAAAACAATTTTGAAAAGGAGTAATAAAGTGAGAGGAATCACTCTACCTGAGAATGGTATTGGCAGAGGATAAATGGAACAAGATAGAAAATCCAAAATTGGACTGACACAAAACATCCAACTTGACTTTTGGCAAAGTTGCAAAATCAACTTGATGGAGGAAGGATAGTCTTTTTAACAAATGTTGAACATCCATAGGGAAAATAATAAACCTAAACCTCACATCATACTCAACAATTAATTTAAAATATATAATTGCTTTAAATTTGAAATGTAAAACTCTGAAGCTTTTAAAAGATAAAATAAGAGAAAATATTTGGGATTTAATGCCAGGCGAAGAGTTCTTAGATATGACAACAGAAGCATGATACATAAAATTTAAAAAATGATAACTTGTACCTCATCAAGACTAAAAACTCTTGTACCACAAAATACCCTGTTAAGAAGTTAAAGTATCAATAATATATAAAAACTTTCAAAACTCAACAGTAAAATAAAAATTATCCAGTTATAATATGGTTGATTAGTAAACATTTCACAAAAGAGCAGATACATATGTATGTATGTATCTGAGTAAGCTGTTCAACAATTGCCATTAGGAAAGTGCAGACCAAATCCACAATGTGATATCAGTGTATATCCGATAAAACAGCTAAAATTAAAAAGAAAGTAAAAGATGCTGATGAGGAGGCACAGAAACTGGATTACTTATGCATTGCTGGTGAGAATGTAAAATGGTAAAGTCACTCTGAAGAATACTTTTGCATTTTCTTGCAATACTAAACATTCGATGCTATTCTCCCCATGACAGATAATGTCTACAAGATACTGACTGAAAGAGGGTATGATTTAGTATAAAAGCAAAGTTTGCTACTGCCCTGTTCTGGATCTTGTGTTTTAGGGAGCACAAAATACACTGAACAACATTCTTCCACATTAAAGAGGCTAAGAGTAACTCATTTTTCGAATATAAGCCCTTGAAAGTTAAGCAATTACACCGAGAATTGGTTCAGAGGGCTTATGAATGCAAAGTTAATTTGATTCACAGATTTGTTAGAACTAAGACGGGTTTTACTTCTGTGAAATGTGATACATATACATGATGGAATACTATGCAGCCATAAAAAAGAACAAAATCATGAATTTTGCAGCAACCTGGATGGAACTAGAGTCTATAATACTGAGTGACCTCTCACAGAAACAAAGTTCTGAGTATCACATGTTCTCACTCATATAGTAGACCTTGAGCATCCAACATAATACCATAAGAAAATAACTGACAGTGGTGGGAAACTATGGGGGGGAGAAGGAGATGGGATTAATGGTAGTAAACATCTGTGAGGAGACGAGGAGACACCTCTTATCAACAAGGGTGCCTGAACAAAGCATATTTGTATATCTAACTCTTAACTGTACACTACAATATCATAATACAAAATATTGATTATTAAAAAAAAGAAATACTCATTTGGGATATACACAACCAGAGGTTTATCTTTAGACATTTAAATATAGGATAAGTAATATCCAAAAACTTTTGCCTATCCCAATATTAGGTTTTGGATAGTTGATTGGATTGATCAAAGATATAAAAAATACATAATAATAATAATATTTATTGAACACACACAAAATTATAGGCATTGTGCTAAGTAATTTATACATATTGCTTCATTTGTCCTCATGGCAACATTATGTTATATTTTGTCATCCTCACTTTACAAATAAAGAAATAAATGCTCAGACAAACAAAAATAAAGAGCTGAATGTCCCACAGGTATTTAGTGGTTGAGCAAGAATTTATTTTCAATTCTGATTGACTGTAAAAGCAACATTTTTTTCACTAGAATATAATATGTTCAAACTGGAAGAGAAATTCCATGCCCTAGAGTCCAACTTCTACTTGATGTTATGATTACTTTTGCATTACAGGTACACCTCTGATTTATGATTGAATATTCTCTAACTAGATAGAACATCCTAATCCCAAGTAAACTAAATTGACTTAACCTTGGCAAAGCCTTTCCAATCTATCCCCTTTCCCTCTCCAATTCCTTTGAAAAAGTCCAAGCAACCTTCGGAAAATACTCTTATCCTTTTCTCATTTGTTTTCTGCACATTTCAGCTTAATATTATTTTCCAAATACATTACTGCTGATTTGGTGACTTTCTATTCTTCTTTGGAAAAACATCTTACCATAGCCTATAAGAACAGTAACTGTGAGTGCTGCTTTGCTCAGATTTGTCTGTTTACCTTGTTACCAAGCCTATTAACTCAGTCCTTTTTTCTTTTCAAGAAGTCTCAAGTTTGGACAGTGAATTTTGTGATCACTCCATCTAAGAAAGCCTTTCATTGCCTGGTTCCAAATACAAGTGATTATGCTTTTAACTGTTCATCATTCATTTTGATCAAAGAGCTAGACAAACTGTTAAAAACAACCATTTCCGCACTCTAGAAATAGGCCAAATGTATACAACAGAACGAGAGGGGCTTATTCATGAAAACTCCTGAACTTTAGATAAAAACAGTGTAAGAAATTGCATAAGAAAGACTACATATTATGTAATTTCACTTATAAAAAATATCCAGAAAAGGCAAGACTATAGAGACAGAAAGCAAATCAGTGAATGACTGAAACAGGATGGAAGTGGGAGTTGACTGCAAAGGGGCTTGGAGGAAATGATAAAATTCTAAATCTGGAATGTGGTTATGATTGTAAACTCTATACTTTTGTTAAGTTGACAGGTACACTTACACTGAGTGAATTTTATGGTATGTATGCTCTACCTCAAACAGCTGTAAAAAGATTTTTTCCAGGTGAGATACATAAACGTATTGTTATCATGCTGCCTGTTATCACAAGTACAACAAAGACAGCAATGGCTGAGTAGAAAATAAGACAGAACATGGAGTCAGTGTAGGTTACTCAATAATTTCTACTTAGTTAAACCTTTTGATATCCCAACACTGCTAAAGTTCACTGAAAAAATCCATGTATCTTAAAAAATATATTAAAACACTTTTTGGAAAACAAATAGAAATATGATCTTTGATTTCAATTTCTAATTATTTTTGCTTTTCCTTTTGATATTCACTTTGTAGATCCTATTTTTCAATTTAAAAATGACATTTATAATAATTATTAAGCTTTGAGTCAGAGAAGCGATCTTGTTTTTGCGTAATCAACAATAGATGATCTATAGAATTTTTCATCTTAAATTTCATTTCACAGTTTAGCATAAATTACATTGGCAAAACCAGTTACATACTTTTGCTTGATATATTACCTTGTCTGACTTGTCAGTCTAAAGTCAACAACAGATTCCTTAAATAAACCATCTCCTTTAATGTCAATGACCTTATCCACGTCAGGCTCAGTAGCAACCAACATAATGGGAAACTTCCATATTCCATCTGTTATACACTCTATTTTCAGTGTAATTTGAGACCTTAAATGTAAAAGGAGATTTTAAAGGATACTGAACAAAAATAAGTGAAAAGAATAAATATAGTAGGCCAACATCTAAGATCAAAATGTAAGGAAACTTTGTAGCCTCAGCAAAAACATTGGGACAATTAATAAAAATGCAGATCATTTTTAACTATATTTTATAAATACTTTTAGATCATAGTTAATATTATTATTCTCCCTTTGAGGTAATTATTTGGTAGGACATCTTATTTACCTTCTAGTTATTTTCTAAGAACCAGTATCACATGCAGATCGGACTCTGCAAATTTTCTGTACCCAGCACAAAATATCATAGTACTTAACCTAAGGATGGATTTGACAAAGGGATTCAAGTTTTATACTAATAGATATTTATTTGAGAATTTTCTCTTAAAATGAAACACTGTGAGAAAGTGTTTTCAACTCTTGCTTCACATAGAAGGAATATATTTTCTGTGAATACTCACAAAGCCTCATGTAATTGATTTAAATTGAAGCTTTTTTCAAATTTAAAGTGCAGTGAGTAAATACTACATACAGCTTACAGAATAACATGTAATCGAGTGGCTGTTGAATTAAGGAAACAAATAATACAGATAGACTTTCAAAGCATTAGGCTATGAAAAAAATAAAGAGAGGGCAGTAGCTGAAGTCGAGGAAGGTTATCCATTTGCCTGTTTAGGATGAAAATGATTCAAACATGTAACGGTGTGGTTGTAATATCTCAAGTCAGGATGAGAAAACAAAATCACAAACCTCTTACCTGAAACTGTCGGGAAGAACGGTTCTAGAAATACTTACACTTATGTAGGATTGTAAAATTACTCAATCATTTGGGGAACAATTGAGCAATTTTTTACCAAATTTGAACGCTGCATGCAATAAATCAGTAATTTGACTATTAGTATTTTCCCCTGGAAAATGTCTCTAAGATTACAAGAAGTGGTGAGTATAAGGATATTAATTATGTCATTGCTTATTCTATAAAAAAAAAAACTGGGAGCAAAATTTTAAAATGCTCTATCAATAAGGTGCTGGCAAAATAAAAAATAAAATAAAGTGGGTTACATAGAAAAAATTGAATATGAGTCAGTATAACTTAGTCCATGATGAAGGATAGATCATCTTAAACTTAACACACCTAAAATGTAAACCCTAAACTTATGTATCTCTTACACTCTCCTGTTCTTCTCAGTGAATCTATATTCCTTTCTTTGTACTATTTCAATAATTGATTTTCCTGCTTCTTCCCTTGACTGTTACAGTGAGAAGTCTATAATTTAGAGCTACTGTTTTATTTTGGTTTTCCTTATTTAACTTTGTGTCTTCTGGTTAACTATCCCAAATATATTTGGAACAAGGAATGCTAGAAGTAAATGGAATATGTACCTATGTACACAAAATACAATTCTTAAGTTACATCAGATCACACCCAACACTTACAGAATTTTATGAATCACATACACAAGTTGTCCTAAATCAGTTTCCTAAATATATATCCTTCAATAGTTTTCCATTACTTCTGACATAAAAGACCAACTCATAGCATCAAGATCTCCGCCAAACTCTTCAAAAATTTTTTTCTCTTTTGCTCACAGCATTAGAGAGACATTGGCCTTCTTACTATTCATTGTTCATGTAAACACTTCCTGTCCCATGGTCTCTGCATTTATTATTTCTTCTGCCTCAAATGCTCTTTCCAGTTGTTTTCATTTATAAGTTTTAGTTCAGACATCACTTTATGAAAGCCTAACTATCCACCTTATATGATGTGCATCCTTTATAGTTCTCTGTTTCCACTTATTTCCTTCTTAAGACAATCTGAAATTTGCTTGCTTATTTATGTGGTTATTTTGCTGTTACCCATCACTCTCACTAGCCATCTAAAAGTGCATGAATTTTGTCTTTTTTATAGATGTTAAATGATTTTTAATAAAATTAGTGAACAGATTCAAATGAATAATCCTGAATATTTTCATTCAACAGGCCAATTATTTGAGTTAGTGGAAAGTCTTTGAGTCAAACTTTTGGGCCAGTGGGAGAAGACATACAATTTCAAGGATGACACAACGGACCAGCTTATGGTAACACTATGGACACATAACAGTGAATATATGTGATATTTCTTATTTAATATATCTCTCACAAACTGTGAAATATAACTGGATTCTAATTCTGTTCAGCTCATGAGCAGGTAAAAAAGTTCCAGGAAAAAGTAAAGCTACGGTAACTAGTATTTCTGAAGATACCACAAAACAAATTATATCTATCACTTTTCTATTCAAATAATACACAGACTTTTGTTAAATTAGGATCATCAGACTGATTCATAACAATATTAACTATTGCTCTCCTAGGTTTCTGTATTAGCTCCTTGATTTTTATTGAAGGAAAAGGCCATAGGAATGTTGTTTTTTGCATTTCTTTTGTAAAACCTTCATTTTGGACACTGACCTTCATTTATTTTTCTTATGTAAAACACTATATTCTGTGAAAGGATAAATATGAAAAATTATCTAGTGTTTACAGTTGTGAAACATGTTATATTTTCATTTCACCAAAACACAAAATTGTGTTTTTCTTTTTACCTTGGAACTCAGAAACAGGATTGAATGTAACAATTTAAATATCTAAGTAATGTGTGACAATTTTTTTTTCTCTTTTCATGATTGAAAGTTATTAGTTTTAGAATCAGAAATGCAAAAGATCTAATAACAACTCTTCCCGAAGAAACACAAAAGATTATTAGAGATGACTATACATACCAGTATGGAAACAAACTTGATAACCTAAATGAAATGAAAGACTTTCTGACATCACACAACCTCCAAGGTTGAAACAAGAAGACACCAAGATAGAAATAGACCAGTAACAACACAGGAAATGAACTCTGTCATAAGAAAATTACCTAAAAAAAAAAAAAAAAAAAGCCCTGGACAGGATGGTTTTCCAGTGGGATTTTACAAAACATGCAAGAATGAGCTGACACCAACCCTATTCAAAGTATTCCAGGCAATTAAGAAAGAATTCTCCCCAAATCATTTTATAAAACTAACATCACACTGATAACCAAACTGGGTAAAGATACAACAACAACAAAAAAAGAAAACTACAGGTCAATATCCCTAATGAACATAGATGCAAAAATTCTCAACAAGATTCTAGCAAATCAGATCCAACAACACATCTGAAAAATCATCCACCATGACCAAGTAGGCTTCATTCCCAGGATGCAGAGCTGGTTCAACGTCTGCAAAACCATAAATATAATTAAATACATCAACAGATGTCAAAACAAGAACCATATGATTATAGAATTAGATGCAGAAAAAGTTTTTGATAAAATCCAGTATTCCTTCTTGATAAAAACCTTAGAACACCTAGGCATTGAAGGGACATACCTCAAAATGGTAAGTACCATCTATGATTAACCCACAGTCAGCATATTTCTAAATGAACAGAAACCAGAAACATTTCCCCTGTAAACTGGAACAAGACAAGGTTATCCACTCTCACCCCTCCTGTTCAACATTGTGTCAGAAGTTCTAGCTAGAGCAATTAGATAAGAGAAGAAAATCAGGGGTATTCAAATAAGAAAAGATGAAGTTAAGTTATCCCTCTTTGCTGATGATATAATCCTATACCTTAAAAACCCAAGAGAATCTGTCAAAAACCTGCTTTCGTGATAAAGGACTTTGGCAATGTATTGGGGTACAAAATTAACATTCAAAAGACAGCTGCATTCTTACAAACCAACAACAAACAGTCAAAGAACTAAATACAAAACAAAATGACATTCACAATAGGCACAAACACACATGCGCGCGCGCACACACACACACACACACACACACACACACACACACACACACACACACACACACACACAGATACCTTGGCATTTTCCTAACCAGAGAAGTGAAAAACCTTTATAGTGCAAACTACAAAATATTGTTCAAAGAAATCCAAGAAAACACAAAGAAATGGAAAAATATTCCATGCTCATGGATAGAAAGAATCAACATTGTTAAAATGTCCATCCTACCAAAGACAATCTACAGATTCAGCACAATACCCATTAAAATACCAACATCATTCTTCTCAGACCTGGAAGTGACAATACAGAAATGCATATGGAAACGTAAATAATCACAAATAGCCAAAATAATCCTTGGCAAAAGAAACAAAGTGGGAAGTATAACACTCCTAGACTTTAAACTTTACAATAAGACTACAATAATCAAAAGAGTCTGTTATTGGTACAAGAACAGGCATATGGACCAGTGGAACAGGATACAGATTCAGAAAGCCAAACCTCAACTTCTCAAATAACTCAACTTCGACAAAACCTCCAACAACCACTGGGGAGAAGAGAACCTATTCAATAAACGGTGCTGGGAAAAATGGCTGATCACATGCAGAAGATTGAAACAGGATCCCTACCTATCACCATACACAAAAATCAACTGTAAATAGATTAAAGACCTAATTGTAAAGCCCCCAACTATAAGAATCGTAGAAAATGTAGGAGACACCATTACAGAAATCGGAGTAAGCAACCAATTCCTGATCAAAATCCAAGATGTCCATGCCGTAAGAGATAAGTGAGACAAATGGGACCTCATTAGGCTAAAAAGCTTCTGCAAAGCAAAAGAGACCATCAAGAGAGCAGGGAGACAGCCCACAGAATGGGAAAAAAATATTTACCAACTGTATATCTGACAAAGACCTAACATCCAGGATCTATAGGAACTCAAATGTGCAGAAAGGAAAAAACAAATAACCCCATTAAAAAGTGGGCAAAAGGTAAGGTGCAGTGGCTCAGCCTGTAATCCCAGAACTTTGGTAGGTCAAGGCAAAGGAGTTGCCTGAACCCGGGGGTTTGAGACAAGCCTGGGCAACTTGGTGAAACCTTGTCTCTACAGTAAGTCAAAAAATAAGCCAGGCATGGTAACATATGCCTGTAGTTCCAGCTACTTAGAAGGTTGAGGTCGAAGGATTGCCTAAACCCAGCATGTTGAGGCTGCAGTGGCCATAAGCATGCCACTGCACTCCAGCCTGGGCCACTGAGTGAGACTCCAACTCAAAAAAAAAAAAAAGTGGGCAAAAAACACGAATAGAAACTTCTTAAAAAAAGATACACAGGCAGCCAAGAGACACATGAAAAAGTGCTCAGCCTCACTAATCATCATAGAAATGCAAATCAAAACTACATTGAGATACCACCTGACTCCAGTAAGAATGGCTATCATTAATAAAACAAACAACAACAGATGCTGGCAAGGATGCCGAGAAAAGGGAACACTTCTGCACTACTGGTGGGAATGCAAAGTAGTTCAACCTCTATAGAATACAGTGTGGTGATTTCTAAAAAATCTAGAACTTGAGCTTCCATATGATCCAGCAATCCCCCTACTGGAAATATACCCAGAGGAACTCAAACCATTCTATGAAGAAGCCACCTGCACATGCATGTTTATTGCAGTACTATTCACAATAGCAAAAACAAGGAACCAACCATGATGCCCATTGAAACTGGACTGGATAAAAAAATGTGGAACATGCACACAACGGAATAGTATGCAGCCATACAGAAGGACAAATATATGTACTTTGCAGCAACTTGGATGGATTTAGAGTCTATAGTACTCAGTTATCTATTACAGAAACAAAGAACAGAGTACCACATGTTCTTACTCATATGCAGACCCTAAACATTTACCATAATATTATAAGAAAGGGATTGGCAGTAGCAGGATACTGCTGGGGTGAGGATCGGGACTCAACATCAATAAAGGTACCTGATCTCAAACCAGACAAAGTGGGACCAAAGGGAGGTCCGAACTTTACCTGTATGATGTCCACTTGTATTCCTAATCCCGAATTGTATCACACATATTTAAAATAAAATATATATATAAAATAAAGTTATTGGTTTATTTATTCATTTCATTTAACTGTGTCTCGCAGTGAACAATCTCAAATACAATCATTCACTGCACAGCAACATTTTAGTCAACGACAAACCATATTTGTGATGGTAGTCTAATGTAATTGCAATATATTTTTGCTATACTTTTTCTATATTTAAATATGTCTAAATACACAAATACCATTGTGTTGCAATTGCCTACGGTATTCAGTAAAGCTGTACAGGTTTGTAGCCTAGGAGTAATAGGATATACTATATCGACTACGTGTCTAAAAGTCTATACCATCTAAGTTTGTGTGAGTGTACTCTGTGATGTTTGCACAAAGATAAAATTACCTGATGCCTTTTTCAGAAAGTATTCTTGTTAAGTGACTCATAACAATACATATAGAAAAGAAATGATGGTCAATAAATATATGCATATATGCAAAAATGGAATTTTTACACCACATCAGGACATCACACAACACGCATTGAAATTTTTAAATCATGCAAATAGTTGTCCTAAATCAGTTTTCCAAATATTCACCAATAATTTCTGAATTCACAAAATTTTGAATGAGTATAAATTCACATTGGCTTTGCTCATATTCACCAATAATAACACTGCTCTCTTTCTAACTGCTGTTGATAATTTCCACATCATTAAATTAACACAATACAAAGCTAAATTTAAAAAATGCTGAGAACAAATATAGAAAACTATAGAAATGAAAGAAAAGACAAGACGATGCCATGTCAATGTGTATAGTATACTTTCTATTTGTGACTTGATTTTATTATTGTTTCCTGAAGATGACCCTGATATCTTTTGGTTTTTGTACTACATATTTACAGCTAGCTTACTAGTTTGGCTACATCAAATACCCAGTTGAACTTTAGAAATGATTAAAAGCACAAGTAATACTTTCAATTCCTTTTTCGTTGCCAGGCTGTATTTTGTACTTTGTGTATGTTGTAGTCCTCATCTGTGTCTATGTGTTTAAGATCAAAATAAAGCTTTATTTCATAGGGAAATATCATATAGCATTTTCAAGTGCTAAGTATCAATTGTTGAAGAAGCAAATATAATGACCCTGGATGAACTTTCCCAGAGGGCAGATATACAAAGCCCACTCTTCTCATAAATCCACTTATGTCTTACTAAGGGATGTGTAATGGTATGGTATTGAGTGGCAAGAGGTAATGAAAGTACTTGCAATGTAGAACATAGCTTAGGCATTTTTGTCATTTGAACCAATTGTAAGAAGTAGCATCAATAAGTATGTCGTTGTTATACAGTGCTAGTCATTTTAAAGAAATATTTTACAAAATAGACTATTTTTTCCATTAATATGATACTCTATAAACCTTAGGGAGGTCACAACTCTTGAGAGATATCTTAGATTTCCAATAATTTGTGCTACTTTCTTTTCCATCAGAATACTTTCCACAGCTAGAAATAATCTCTCCCAAAATATTTATCTCAATGGCATCAAAGTTAGATAATATAATCCAAATACTGAAAAATGGAAAGAAAAATCAACATTGTTTAGTCAAAAAACATAATAATATTATTTAAAGAAAATAAGGAGGGGAGCAGGCTTACCTCAATGGTTTCTTTGGTGTAAATACCAAATTGAAGATCAATGTTATCCTTTCATCATGGATATTATAAGTTTTATTGATCAAATATAAAGTCACACAGGGTTCCAAGTTACATTTTATAGCTTCAGACTCAAATAGAACTTCATACTCAAATTCACGTGTTTCAGGCATTTCTAGGAAAATTAAGTATATGTCAACACTAATAATGCACAGGTACTTAAGAGAAAAAGAGAGTGCATATATTATTTAACTTTGTGTTCATAATGTCTGGTGTGTTATAGCCTATATAATAATACTCAGTATATTTTGATAAAGATTAATGAATAAATGAATAAATATAAAATGAAATACAAATAAACACGGACAACAATTATCACCATCCTTACATCTTTAAAATTCAGGTTTATGGAACAAGAAAAGTTAAAGAGTGGAAATAGTGAATATTAACTATGGAATTAAATAATATGATATGCTTAGAGAAAATAGACTTGAAACTTATAAAGAAGTTTAAAATATGATTTGAATTGAGCTTAATATTGGAATGGAATCCCAAACTGTTAGAAAAAAAAATTTCAATTTTTGGCTTATTTTGATTAAAAAAAGATTTGTTCCTTATGTTTTAGTCTTGGAGTATGATAGACAATATGATTAACAAAGATTTTCCTAACCAGCTGTTTAACAAAGGAAAGTAATAGGGTTTTGTCCACTGCATATTAAAATCTTAAATCAAGGACTGGCATATAGTGGCGAGTTATAAACATGTGTTAAATTTACTCTCCATTTACATGTAAGGAGCCCAAACACCAAATTGAGAAGTTTGTTGCATATGGGTCATGGAAGAGAGATCAGAGAAAAATGAATTGACCAGATCTATAGTTGACTTAATCTTCAAAGTCTGTCTCTGATGTTTAAAAGGAAATGCGATCCTTGGATTACCTTATTTTAATTCAGAGCCGAAGGCTACCTTTCTCTAAGCAGTTCTAAGAGACACCAGACCACTTTTTATAAGTAGATAACATTAATTTTTGCTACTGAATTCTGAAAAAGACTGTCTATAACAAGCTCAAATCATATTTAATGATATCTCACCACACTTTATTAATGTAAAATGTAACAGACTGACCAATGCACTCACAAGATCTCTTCTTTTCCACACATAAAAATAAATCTCTGACCTCCTGAATTGCTGACTTTCATCCTCTTGAAAAACCAGAAATTTATGTTCTTATCAATAATCATTCTTTGATGTAGCAAAATTAATGTTTCTATGTATAATATGCCTATTTTGTGAAAATGGAATATTGAAATGTCCCATAAGAAGCCATAACTCATACAGAAAAAAATAGCATTTAAGAATTTTAGATGTTTAATGGGAGATGAAATTTCAATTGCTGTGAAATAGTAAAGATTTTTTAAAGCAGATCTCGTATGTAGTTGAGATCAGTATCTGTTTTTACTTAATTATTGACGCTTTATGAGAATGGTGGTGTCAGAATGAAACTAGAGAATGAGAAGCTAATTTTAGTCTCAGAAGCATTGAACCTCCTGTGGGCATCCATCACCATAAGTGTCATATTTTCTGTTTATAAGAAGGTCCATTGGTTTAAAATATAGTCATGATTATCAGCTAGAGGGCACAGGGTGAGGTAAGTAGGAACCGTGCGAGAATATTTTTCAAACTAAACATATCCCTCTTGTCTGTAACTCAAATATGTTGATATGAACACTTATGGGAGAGAGAAAGAACCAGTTTTGACAAAATCATGATAAACTGTTATTATTTATTATGTATTAGTGCTGATCTGTAGCATCTCTATATCTTACTTGAAAAGTCATATTATATAATAAGAAATATGTCTTTTGCTATGTTCCTAATTTGGAAAGAATCTATACAGTCCTTTTATGCAGACTGGATTGATAAGAGCTAAATCAGTGAGACTAGTGCAAGTGAATTATCATTTGATTAATAGATGAAATAAAACTCTTCTGATAAATATAATTCACAATGTTAAAGAAATAAATGCAAGTTTCTTTTTAATTTTTTTGGAGATTGGGTCTCCCTATACTGTCCAGGTTGGTTTTGAATTCCTGTGATCCTCTTGCCTCAACCTCCCAAGTAGCTGAAATTATTGGCACAAATCACTGTATCTGGCTCAGAATAAATGCAAGTCTCTAAAAAACGTGTAAAAAATGTATTTTTCCATAATATATTACAAATTCAAAGTTACAAGTCAGTTGTTCTTGAAATTACTGTAACAAATTCATTATTGAAGGGAGATTCTGTTCTTTTCTAGAACACTCTTAAAAACTTACTTGAGGGAATTATGTCTGCATGGTGGCAAATAGAATGTTCTAATTCTTGTATCTCACATAACCACCAATTTGACAACCATCCATAGATGAAAATAACTTCATGAGATCTCCAGAATCTCACTCATACAAAGTGTTGAGAGAACTCCTTGACCCAGGAGTTCCCAAATAAATGAAAGAAAGAGCAAACTAAGCAACCAACTCTGTCATGGACCCTAGCACCTGGTCCACTCCCATGGACCCTGGTGCCAGGCCTGCTCTAGCAAATCCATCCAGGCTACAGGCATGTTCCCACAGACTCTGGTCCCAGCCCTACCTATAGACCCAGACACCAAGGCTACATCAAGACACATTATAATTAAATTGTTAAAAGTCAAAGACAAAAATAGTACAGGTGCATAAATCTAATACTATGTTGAATAATGGGTTTTTGATCCCTTTAATGACTAAGTCTGTGTCTTGTTAATTTTGGTATCTGCACAATATTTGGCAGAAAAGATGCTTGCTAAATTGTTGTTGAATGATAACGATATGAAAGCGATCAATCTTGGTTAACTCAAAGATATGTGTGATGAGTTGGGGTGAAGAAAGCGTAAAGGTCCTCACATTTTCATTTAATGAGGCTTGATAGCTTTATATACTCAAATAAAGTATATGATGAGATAAAGAGAGAATGATGTGGAAGAGAATGTTGGGAATTCTTATCTCCTACTTGTCAGGTTTACATAAAGAGGCCTATTTACTCACAAGAAGGGAAAAGCATGGAAGGAAAAATACCTCAGCTTCAATTTGCCTCCTCAGTCATTACTTGCAATGGGAGGAAAAGCAACATATCTGATTAGTGAATCTGAGTGAAGGAATGGAATATGAGCAGATGAGCAAACAAGTCTCCTTTTTCTCCGTTGCTTTGAATCCAGGATGCATGCTTTCTTCTCTCTCATGTGTAAGTTGTTTGTCCCTGCAGAGTCTATAACTGGCCAGTTTGGCATGAATGCACTCAATTTTGGGTAGAAGGTATTAATAAGCCAAAATGAATTCATTGTTCCAGTCACCTTCCAATTCATTTTAAAAATTAATTAGGTTAACAGTTTGATCTCCATCTGCTTTATTTTTACATCTGCTTCTCAGTCGATTTCAAACTCAGATGAAGGAATACAAGTGTGTGATTAATTACCACCCTACCAGAGTCCAAGCCACAGAGTGTAGTGCTTCAATTTCCACTATGAGAGATTTAAATGACATCAGGAAGTACAAAATGGCATGGAATATACAACTTCTTTGGACACTCTTTAATGTACTGAGAAAACTGTAATTAACTTACACATGAGAAGGACAGAAACTGGTTTGCTTTTGCATATAGTAAAGACTAAAATAGTATTGAGACTTTCTGGTCAAACTTGTCCCTTCATAAAGAAATAGGTGGCAAGGAAGGGGCAAGCAAAGATACTTACAGATGGTGCAGGAAGTTGGTTAAGCCCCTGGAATAAGGGCAGGGGAAAGGGACCAAGTTACTGCCATATGTCTTCAAGGAAAGGATGAGGTTAACTCATTTTATCAACTATTTAGGTACCATAGAGACAGAAAATATTGAAGTTGAGAGGGAACTGATCTATTCCACTTCTGTTTAGGAGGACAAAAAAAGATTCACAAATTAAAACGTATTTAGCCGAAAAAACAGAATAACTTTTTTGCTTGGTAGTATTAGGAAGAAAATAACTGTTTTAGAGAGAATGATGGGTAAGGTAAGCCTATAAATGTTCCCTATGGTTATTTTCAATATTAAATATTATTTTCCATAATGAAAAGTAATAGGCGCCATATCAAAATGTGTCTTTTCAAAAGCTAGTTGAGCTATTTGAAAGCTATATTGCTTTTCTAATATAACTTTCAAAGTTCTCAAAGTAATGTTGGCAGCTTCCTTAAAAAGTCTGATTACCTAGGAGGAAGTGAATGTTTTTAGATTATCAGTTTATATCAACAGAATGATAATTTCTTAATTTGTAACCTGACAAGTATAATTTTTAAACAATTTAAAGTAATGTGAACATACTAAAATGATTCCTATGTGTAATCATTTCTTTATCTTCCTTTACCTTTAGTTTAATATGAGTTCTACTCTCTTAACACATTTTTAGAGTGCACAACACAATATTGCTAACTATTGACATTGTTGCACAGCAGTTCTATAGAACTTTTTCATCTTGTACATTTGAAAATTTATATTCATTGAACAACTCCCCATTTCCCCTTCCATTCAGACCCTGGAACCTTCTATTCCACTTTCTGTTTCTGGGAGTTTGAATATTTTAAATTTATCATATAAGTGGCATCATGTAGCATTTGTCATTCTGTGACTTGCTTATTTCACTTAGCATAATATTCCTCATATCCATCCATGGTGTCACATATTATAACTTTTTAAAAGACTGAATAGTATTTCATTGTATGTATATGCCATATTTTTTTAATCAATTCATTTGTGGATAGACATTTAGGTTGTTTCCATATCTTGGCTACTGTGAATAATCCTAAGACGAACACGGGAGTACAGACCTCTCTTGGAAATCCTGATTTCAATTAAAAAAGAATACCTAGAAGTGGGATTCCTGGATCATATGGTAGTTCTGTTTTTAATTTTCTGAGGCGCCTCCGTATGGTTAGACTGTTTTCATTAGCAGCAGCACGATTTTGCAGCCCCACCAACAAAGTACAATGGTTCAAATTTCTCCACGTTCTTTTTTGGTTGTTGTTGTTTGTAGAAAGCAGGATTTATCGAGAGGACAGAAAAGCTCCCACAGTGGGAGGGGGCTCATGGGGGTGCCCTCTCCACATTCTTGCTAACACTGTTCTTTATAATAGTTATGGTGACAGATGTGAAATGGTATCTCATTGTGGTTTTGTTTTGCATTTCTTTGATGATTAGTGAAATTCAACATTTTTTCATATAGCTGTTGGCCATTTACATGTCTTTTTTGAAAGCATTTCCATTCAAGCTTTTAACCTATTTAAAAAATCTAGTTATTAGGGATTTTAAAAAATTATTGCGTTATAGGAGTTCCTTATATATTTTGGAGATGAACTTCTTGTCAGATGTATGGTTTGCACATTTTTTCCCCCACTCCATAGGTTGTCTGCTCACTCTGCTGTTTCTTTTGTTGTGAAGAAGATTTTGAATTTGATGTAGTCCTATTTGTTTAATTTTGTTTTTGTTGTCTGTGCTTTTGGTGTCATATTTATGAAATCACTGCCAAAACCAATGTCATCAGAGGTCTCTGTGCCAGGGATAGGGTTTCTGGCAAGAGGGTGTCCCAAATCTCTCTAGAGGCTTTGGTGAGTCTGGTTTCACATTGTCTCAAGGAACAAGAAACTTTCAGTTAGTTTCTAACGTCTCATGAAGATAATTTGTCTACGACTACTGCTGTATTGGTGTGTTTGTAAGTGAAAGAATGTCCCAGGGCTCTCTATTCTGCCATGTTGCTGACATCAAGTGATATAAAACATATTTCGAGAGTTAGACAATCTATTATAAATTATTTTTATTTTTAAAAAATGAGATAGCAAATTTTTAAAACACCTTCCATTCTAGGAGAGATAGCAAATTTTTATATAAAAATCTGGAATATACAGTAAATGCATACAATAAATCTTATTCTTTAAAATTAGTTTTGGAGTATAGTTAATTTTGTCATTGTTCCTATTTCTTTAAATAAGAAACATTATATTCAAGGTTTTGTTTCTCAATTTAATGTTGCAAGTCATGGCTTCAATCATATTTCTTAAATCAGAAAGAAAGAGTAAAAGAAGAAATTAAGAGGAGAAGTAAAAATTACAATTCTTACAGTTTTCTTTCTTTTTACTATTGACAGAATCATAACCTATGTTTTATAAATCCAGTAATAACCGTAACTGTTGGCATTTTTGAGTTACATGAAAACAACGAACATAACAACTGAGCATTCCTTAAGCACCACTTGAATGTTATAAAGAAAAAGAAAATGCACATGGATCTTCATGTAAGTGCACAACCAACAGCCTGCAGTTCAAGGAAACTGAGTTTTTATTTATTATGCTTTATTATATCTATGACTATAGTTCTCTTACCTTTGAAATCATTGTGGACATTAAATGAATTGCTTTTTGGAATCACTAAAAATTCTGTCTTTTTTGGGGTAGGACTATGTCCAAAAAAATTACCAGTCAGTGTGACTTCTACTTTCTCTTCTACACGCTTTCTGGACTGACATTTTATGACAACTAAAGGAGAGAAATATTTCCAGTTAATTTGACCACTAGGTAATATGATCATTCTTGAGATAAAATAAAATGAACTACATCATAAAAATTAAACTTCTTTGACATTCTTTGACTTGTCATTGCATCTGACCTTAACACATACACACACATACACACACACACCCATGCAATATCTACATCCATTGGCATTTTGAAAGCAAATATGAAGATTAAAGGATATATAAAAGTAATGCAATACCAGGTAAACCTGTAAGATATATACCAATTTATAAAACTGTATATTGTTTTATAGAAATTCGATCCAGGAACTGGTATAGTTATATGAATAACTCAAGTGGCAACTGTAAACATGTGAGTTTCTCCCCTTTTAAAATCTGTATGTTCATTGCAGTGATACCAAGCTCAACTTTTATAATAATAGCAAATGTCTTCAAGTAATTTTCTAGAGTAAGTTCTGTAACACTTATTTTACAATAAAGTTTTAAAAATATTTCCTATTAGATGTATTACTTTTTTATATGCACCTTAAAATTTATTGAAATTATCTAAATAAAGTTTAAACATTATTTTTGAAATACTTTTAAATTTACAAAAGGCACCTTTTTAATAGATAAAATATAAAATTATAATAATTACTTAAAATTAAGGTTAAAATGTGATTACATATTAATTTAATGTACAGTTTAAGTATTTATATATGCATTTGTATAAGTATTAAATCCCTATATTTTCTTATATAAAATGTAGAAAAGGTTGTCAGTGATCTCGTGAGAAATCAAAATATTGTTTTTATGTACAATTAATAAGTATATAAAGGAATATTAATGTGTTCCTTTAGCGTTAGCTCTATAATACTCTGAGAAATATATATGAAAATTCACAAAAAAGAGAAAAAAAGAAAAGTCACATAAATAAGAATACTATTTCTTCCCAATATATTAAATGTTATACATTTTCTTCCCAATATATTAAATGTTATACATACTCTTATCAGGTTAAAAGCATATATAAATATAAAAGAAAAAGGAGAACCATAATATCAAAAATACTTTTGGACTGCATTGTGCTATGATTTTGTGACATCAGTAAAAATATATTTACATAAACTACACAATTAGATGGTGTCCTCAGATTGATGTTTTAACAATACACATTATATTGATAGTACAAAATTTTTATAATAAATTTATTTTTATGCAAACATTTAGAAATTGATATTGAACATTCCGAACTTAGAATTAAGTATGTGAAATGTACAATAAAGATACTAAGATAGATATAAATTATTATAAGTGAATTAATGCAGAAACAGAAAACTGAATACAACATGTTCTCATTTATAAGTGGGAGCTAAACATTGGGTACACACAGGCATAAGAACAAGAACGGCAGACACTGAGGACTCCTAAAGGAGGCAGTAAGGGCTGAAAAAACTACCCATTAGGTATGACACTCACCACCTGGGTGACAAACCTTACTATGATGTTAAATATTTATGTATCAATCCTACACACGTACCCCTTGAGTCCAAAATAAAAATAAAAATAAAAAAATGACTAGGAAAAATGAACAAGTTTTTCTAATTATAATTATCTTCAGTCTTAAAGCATTAAATTGGAAATGAATGTAACCAAAGTTACAGTTAATATCATGTCACTAGTCTTGTCCTATAAGATCCTTGGGAAATTACTGGCCTGGCCATGTAATAATCACTCAATCACAACGAATTTACATTTCATTGTCTTTACAGTATGACAGGTAGTGGAGTCTTCTTCCAATGATCTGCCCCAATGTATAGCAGTAGATAATGCACAAAGAGAAAAGGTATCCTGGGCTTGTAAATAACCTGGGTGATAGTTACATAAAAAAGCAAAGAAACACTCTACTTTGATAGTGATACATTTGAGCAGAGAAAGCAGCAGGCTATATCTGATGAGTTATTACATAAAGAATGAATAATGAACTGTACAGAAGACAAATAATGTATATTTATAAAATTATGATCACTTGCCTTTCATGGGCATTTGTAGATACAAATAATTAGCAGGATGGAATTTAGATTTTTGTTAAAATGATTTAATAACGAATGCAATCTATTTTAGAACACTGCTATTGCTGCCAAGTTGTGCTAATGTATGTACTACTAGAGGTTGTGCTAAGCTATTTACAAAACTCACATTTAATTTAAAAATCAATTAATTACCAAGAACAATGACTTGAAGAAAAACGCTCTGGAGCATGTTTAACTTTCTTTGAAGAAAAAATTGCAAGGAATTTGTGTTTTATGTTCTTATAGGCATTGTTTTTGACAAAAAATTCTGCTTTAAATCTTTGATTTAAGGAAAACAAAACTGTGTCTGCAGTAGACAAGAGCAACACTACTCTTAGCATTCTAACATAATAATATCTAGACTTTATTACATCACTTTGATCAGATGACTGTACTATAAATTTTAAACAGTTGAGCACTATGGAAAAGTACACAATCCACTCTCTTCTAGAAGGAAATGAAAAATATTTTGACATGCTTGTGAAGCATTCCGAAGATAATTTAAAATATTTATGTATGTGTTGATAATTTTTTAACTCAAGAATAAAATACCTCAAGTAAAACAAATGACATTTATTGTCAAATGTATTACTGTATATGCGGAGTTTTACATGAGTTAGAATTGAACTACATAAGCAGATATGTAGTCTTGGTCTTCCTTTATAACCAGTGTAACTGGTAAATGCTTTATTTACAAGGAAACTTTGCTAGTTTCTCTTATTTCCAGGTATGGCGACATGATGTGTGTCATGGAAATCTAACTCTCTTTCACTTGCAAAAACTGGTTATTGGAGGGAGATGGATAAAGCAAAATTTCAAAACTTCTTTTAACTAATCTATGTAACTCAAGGGATAAATCCAAAATAGATATCCCTTTGCTTTGCAGAGGCATTCAGTGCATCCTATGTAGAACTCTATCTTGAGCTGGTAAGGGGTTAGGATACTATATTTCACTGTTTGATTATCTAAGAGGAATCTTGTTTCTTAGGCTAATCCTGGGAGGAAAATGGAAAAATCAAGGAATGCAAAAGAGATGAGAAAAGTATTGAGGAAAAAGACAGCACAGAAACTTGAAGGAAGCCTTCAGTATGTGGAGGGAAAAAAAGGGTCACTGAGAATAAGAAAGGCATTTAAGGGCAGGGATTTTATGTTGTATATATCTTGGCAGAATAAACCTCCCTGAAAAACCTCAGTATATTCTGACAAGGTTTTGAAGAAAATCATAAAGTTTCTGTGTCTGAGACAACTAAGAATAGAGGGATCAGCACCCTCACAAGATAGTTCTTAAATGGGAGGGAGAGTTGCACAGAAGCAGAAATAAGATTATTAAAAATGACCTGAGAGCAAGTTTACCTGGGAATCTTACAGCTCTAATGCCAGGCCCTGTGGGATAAAGAGGTGTGAAGTTAATTTTATTATGATATTAGCTGATATCTGGGTTTCACTAACAGAAAGGCAAAAATAAATGATGTGACCTTGTGGAAAAGTCATTGGACTCACTGGGAGAGCAGTTTATATCACAGCACTCCCACCAATAGGGCTGATCATGTCACTACTTACTTTCTCTGGACCTTGAACAAAGAAGAAAAGGGATCAGAGGATGTTTGGGGCTCCTTGGAATTCTGATGTTCTCTGGTTCTAATATATACCTACCTTGTTGAGATTTAGGAGGTGGTGCCTGTGGGAGTCCAAGAAAAGGGTATATCCAGTGTATTGCTTGGATTTCTCCACTGTTGATTCCCATAATTCTAAGTAAAAATTAAAATATTAAGATTTAACAAATAAGGGAAACACTTTCCATTTCAGCAAAAAAAAGCATATTCTTTGATAACTTCATTGTATTTTAGTACAGCTTGTGAATTTAAACTTTGGTAGGGAGAAGCTGATGAAATAGAAAATATTTTCTGCAAATGTTGATTTTCTAAATATTTCAAGTGCATCCTGGAAAATCATCACAAAGACAGTTGTAATAAAATCATCATGAAATATAAGTTAACACTGGAGGCTTTTTTTTCCTACTTTAAGGGTTCATATTAGTATTTATGGATGTGACTAAATTGTGATTAATGAGCAGTAATACAGTCTTCATAGATTATATTCTGAATTGAATGGGCAAAGCACAAAACAAAAACATGCCATAAAATATAGGACTTCAGAATGTGATCAGGGATTTATTTTGGGGGACTCCAGTTATAAGAAAGAAGGCATTTGTCCCAATATTTTAGGTCTATCATACACCATTAGGAAAGCAGCAAAAATAGAAAATATTTACTATCATTTTGGAATTGGGATTTTCTTGTTAAAATGAAATGAGAGACACTGCAGGCAGAACCAGTTGTGAATGTAACTTGTGCAAATGCATAAGACCACACACTTAGAAGAGCTCCATGCTTGTTTAATGCACTACTGTAACTGTTTTGAAATTCTTAATAGTTTTTTTTTAATAAGGACCCTCCCTCGTTCACATTTTTTCACTGAAAACCACAAATTATGCAGCCAGTCTTGACTGTAAGAGTGTTGAAATGCCTGGTATAATGAATACTAACGGGTTCACAGTAAATAACTGAAAAAAAAAATAGAGAAAAAATATGCACACATAAGTCAAAGTGAAAATATATTTTTAATTAAGATTCCTGGATTATTATTTAATTAACTTGTAAAAGTAGAGAAGACATTTACATTTTGCATCATTATTGAAATTTGCTTTAATATCAGCTAAACAAGACAAAAGTAGCCTGCATTCTGGCAATGACATGATATCCCCAATTCAGAACAGTGTTTCCTTGGGTTGTTTTATCTAGCTGGCACCATGTCATCACTTGGCAAATGCCAGAATCACAAGTCTTATACTTTTCCCAAACACGCAGTTTTAAGTTATTCTCTGGATACTGACTATCTTTGTCTTACTGTCACTGCTTTCTGTCAATAAGAAGTGTCTTTGCATGTCTCTCATTCTGATTCATTGATAATGATACTTAAGATAAAACTTGCTGGCTGTGTTCAGTGGCTCAGCCTGTAATCCCAGCATTCTGGGAGACCAAGGAGAGTGGACTGCCTGAGCCAGTGGGTTGGAGAACTGCCTGGACAACTTGGCAAGAACTTGTCTCTACAATAAATCATAATATAGCTGGACAGGGTAGCATGCGTCTGTAGTTCTGGCTACTTGGAAGGCTGAGGTGGAAGGATCACCTGAGCCCAGTAGGTCAATGCTGGGGTGGCCATGAGCATGCCACTGCCACTGCACTACAGCCCTGGTGGAGGAGTGAGACTCCAACTCAAGAAAAAAAGAAAAGAATAAACTTGTTCATCATGCTGAATTTAAAATTAGCAATTACATATAATAGATGCACTTAAATATTACATATCCCCATATAACAAATATATTTTCCTCTTCTAAACATATGAATTTTAACAGTTTAGAGAATATAAAATCATGAACTTTACATTGTATATGTATAACATGTAAAAGAAACCTATCACATCAGTGCCAGTCAAAAATGAAATCGTTTTCTTTCAGTGCTTTTATTTAAATGTTACCTTTTTGTCTCTGTATCCAATTCATCAAAATTATCAATAGGCCATTTTATTTTGTTTGCTTTCACCATCTGAACAATGACCATTGTTTTGTGTAATTTCATAACTCTGGGCATAAATAGCAATGGGATATCTATGGTTCCTTTGGGAGGCAATGCAATTCCTGTAAAACACACAGAAACATTTTTTAATGTGGTAAATATTTACAAAATATAATTTTAACACAAGAAAGTAATCATCTAGTTTTCTTACTGATTATCAATTTTTCAAAATCATTTCTGAAAAAACACATTATGCTAAACTATAAGTGCACTTTATTATTTTCCCCTCAAATGTCATCAAACTTATTAAAAGACACATTTTATCCCAAGGTAGACAATTTTTCCTAAAGAAGCAAGAAGAACTGAGGAAATATTGAAAGTGATTACTGGAGTTTACAGAGTGATAAAGGAACCATACAAACTATGAATCTTTTCAAGTCTTACCATATTTTACCAGGAAAAGTAGAGTAATTTTGATCTTTTATTTTCTTGTGTGTGTTTCTTTTTCCATACTATTACAGGTCCAAGTCTCTGTTTGGAGCCCCCAATATTGCTGCCTCTAAAAACTGTTTATGAATGGAAAGAGTAAATAGGACTCAAGAAAGACAAGGTGTAACATTGAAAGAACTTGTAACAGAGATTTTGGCAACAAAAAATTTCATCCAGAAAGTCAATAACAAGATGACAAGCATGGATAGCAGAATTAATCTAGCTGAAGAAAGAATCTCAGAACTTGAAGACCAGAATATAGAATTAATTTGATCTGCAAAAAACATAGAAAGAAGACTCAGAAAGAAAGAACAAAGCCTACAAGAGATGTGCAATTATATCAAGAAGCCAAACCTATGTCTGATTGGTATCCCAGAAGAAGAAAGGGATATAGAGAACAACTTGGAGCAGGTATTCCAGTAGGTAATCCAAGAAAACATTCCCCATCTTACCAGAGATGTGACCAGCAAAGCACAAGAGATACCACAAGAGATACAGAGAACTCCCATAACACATCCCCTAGACACATAGTAATTTACCTACACAAAGTAGGCACAAAAGAAAAATTCCTAAAGACAGCAAGAGAGAAAGGTCAGACTACCTTCCAGGGAAAACCATTAAGAATAGCAGCAGATCTATTAGCAAAAAGCAATACCGGCAAGAAGGAACTAGAGACCTATATTCAAAGTTCTCAAAGATAAACAATTTCAACCAAGAATTTCCTATCCAGCCAAGGTCAGCTTCATCAGTGATGGAGAATTAAAATCCTTTCCAGATCGAATCCCTAAGAGATTATGTAGCTTCCAAACCAGCTCTACAGGAGACACATAAAAAGGTATTAAGCATGGAAGAAAGAAAAAAAAGGAATGACCACACAGTTCTCAGGAGAACAGTAGAGCACAGAATCAACAGAGAATACAGTGCAACAAGAAACTTGAAAACACACACATAGAACAAAGCCAAAAGAAAACAAGCAAAGAAAAACTTTATAAGAACCTCATGACACAGATAAACAATCACATTTCAATAATCAGCCTGAATGTGAATGGACTAAATGGAACACCTAAAAGACACAGAGTGGCAAACTGGATAAGAAAACATGACCCAATTATTTGCTTCATCCAGTAGACTCATCTCACTACAAGGGGCAAACACAGACTCAAAGTTAAAGGATGGAAAACGAGTTTCCAGGCAAATGTATCACAAAAGAATGCAGGAGTTGCAATCTTAATATCAGAAAACAAATTTCAAGCTATCAAAAATTTAAAAAAATGTAAAAGGACACTAAATAATGATAAAAGGTTCAATCCATCAACAAGAAATATCCATCCTAAACATATATGCGCCCAACACAGGAGTACCAGAAATTATAAAACAACTACTATGTAAACTAAAAAAAGATATTTACTCTAACACTATTATAGCAGGGGGACTTAAATACCCCACTGATAGCCCTAGATAGATCATTGAGGCAAAAAATCAACAAGGAAATCCAGAGCCTAAACTTGACACTCAACCAAATGGAATGAACAGATATCTACAGATTATCCCACCCAACAATCACAGAACATACATTCTACTCATCACCATATGGAACATACTCAAAGATCGATCACATCCTTGGCTGTTAATCAAGCATAAGCAAATTCCATAAGGTTGAAATCTTGCCACGCACACTCTTAGACCACAGTGGAATAAAAATAAACATCAACACCAACAACATTTCCCCAAAGCCCACAAAGACATGGACACTAAACAGCATGATGCTGAACAACTACTGGGTCAACACTGAAATCAAAGCAGAAAACAAAAGATTCCTGGAAGCAAATGCAAATGAAGAAACATCTTACCAAAACCTCTGGGATGCCATAAAAAGAGTTCTAAGAGGGGATTTATATCTCTACAAGCACACATCAAGAAAATGGAAAGATCACAAGAGAGAGCCTAACAAATCACCTAAGGGAACTAGAAAGAGAAGACCACCAAAACCCCGACTTTAGCAGAGGAATGCAAATCACAAAAATAAGAGCCCATATACAGGACGTAGAAGACAAAAATGTCATAGAAAACATCAGCAAAACAAAAAGCTGACTCTTTGAAAGAATTAACAAGATTGATGGACTCCTAGCCAGAATGACCAAGAAAAAAGGAGAAAAAGTCCAAACACAATCAGAAATGCTAAAGATCAAATCACAACTGACCCCGAAGAAATACAAAAGATTATCAGAGATTCCTATGTACACCTATATGGAAACAAACTTGATACCTACATGAAATGGAGAACTTTCTGACATCACAGAACCTCCCCAGGTTGAAATAAAAAGAAATTGAGAACCTAAATAGACCAATAACAGTTGAGAAAATTGACTATGTCATAAGAAAACTAGCTACAAAAAACAAAAACCCTGGACCAGATGGCTTTCCAGCAGAATTCTACAAAACATACAAGGAGGAACTGATACCCTATTGAAAGCATTCCAAGTGATTGAGAAAGATGGAACTCTCCCCAAATCATTTTATGAAGCTAATATCACATTGGTATCCAAGCCAGGTAAAGACCCAATAAAGAAAGAGAACTAGCCAGGCTCGGTGGCTCAGCCTGTAATCCTGTGCTTTGGGAGGCTGAGATGAGTGGATTGCCTGAGCCCGCAGGTTCGAGACCCACCCGGGCAACTTGGCGAGACCTCAGCTGTACAGTAAATCAAAAATCAGTGGGGTGTGGTAGCACACACCTGTAGTTCCAGCTACTTGGAAGGCTGAGGCGGAAGGATCGCCAGAGCCCAGCAGGTCGAGGCTGCAGTGGCCAGGAGCGTGCCACTGCACTCCAGTCTGGGCGACAGAGTGAGACTCCAACTCAAAAAAAAAAAAAAAAAAGAAAGAGGACTACATGCCAATATCCTTGATGAACATAGATGCTAAAATTCTCAACAAGATCCTAACAAACCAGATTCAACAACACATCTCAAAAAACATCCACCATGCCTAGGCTTTATGCCTAGGATGCAAGACTGGTTCAACATTTTTAAGACCATAAGTGTAATTAAATATATCAACAGACGTAAAAACAAAACCACATGATTATATCATTAGATACAGAAAAAGCTTTTGATAAAATCCAGCACCCCTTTTTGATAAAAACCCTCGAACATGTAGGCATAGATGGAACATACCTCAAAATAGTAAGAGCCATCTGCAAGAAACCCACAACCAGCATACAGCAAAACAGACAGAAATTGGAACCATTTCCCCTGAAAATTGGAACAAGACAAGGATGCCCACTCTCACCCTTCCTGTTCAACATAGTGTTGAAAGTCCTAGCTAGAGCAATCAGAGAAGAGAAGGTGATTAGGGATATCCAAATAGGAAAAGAGGAAGCCAAGTTATCTCTTTTTGCAGACGACATGATTCTACACATTGAAAACCAAAGATAATTTGTTGAAAACCTCCTTGCACTGATAAAGGACTTTGGCATAGTCTCAGGGTATAAAATAAATTTTCCAAAGAAAATCACATTTCTATACACCAATAATAAACAAACAGAAACCCAAATAAAAAGCACAATTCCATTCATAATATCCACACACACACACAAAAAATGAAATACCTTGGCATCTTCCTAACCAGAAATGTGAAAGACCTTTACAATGACAACTACAAAACACTGTTCAATGAAATCAAAGATGACACAAACAGGGAGAAAAATATTTCATGCTCATGGATTGGGAAAATCAACATTGTTAAGATGTCCATTCTACCTAAGGCAATCTACAGATTTAATGCAATACCCATCAAATTACCAGCAACATTCTTCTCAACCTAGAAACAAAAATACAGAAATTCATATGGAAATATAAATGACCAAGAATAGCCAAAACAATCCTCAGCAAACAAGCAAACAAACAAAAACAAAGCAGGAAGTATGACACTCCCAGACTTTAAACTTTATTATAAAGTTACAATAATCAAAACAGCCTGATACTGATACAAGAACAGGCATATAGACCAATGGAATAGAATTGAGATTCCAGAAGCAAAACCTCAATTTCTCAACCAACTCATCTTCGACAAAGCCTCCACCACCAACCACTGGGGAAACGAGAACCTGTTCAGTAAATGGTACTGGGAAAACTGGCTGACCACATGTGGAAGATTGAAATAGGACCCCTTCCTATCCACCTACATAAAAATTAACTCTAAATGGATCAGAGACCTAAATATAAAACCTCAAACGATAAGAACCTTAGAAAATCCAGGAGACACTCTTATGGAAATTGGAACTGGCAACCAATTCCTGACCAAAACTCGAAGTGCCCATGCCATAAGAGATAAGATAGACAAGTGGTAGCTCATCAAACTGAAAAGCTTCTGCAAAGCCAGAGAAACCATCAAGAGAGCAGGGAGACAGCTCACACACTGGGAAAAAATATTTGCCAACTCCATGTCTGACAAAGGCCTAACATCTAGTATCTACAAGGAACTCAAATGTGCTGAAAAGAAAAACAAACAAACAAACAACCCCATTACAAAGTGGGCAAAAGATATGAATAGACAGTTCTCAAAAGAAGACATATGAGCAGCCAATAGATACATGAAAAAATGTTCAGCCTCAAGGAGATGCAAATTAAAACTATAC